CCAGCTAAATGCAGCTATGACTCCAGCTGACTCCATATGGAGCAAAACCACACAGCAAAACTCTTTCAGAATTCCTAACCCACAGAATCAGAGGAAAGAATAAATCATTATTATTTTAAGGTACAACATAATGAAGTGATTTTTATGCAACAGATAAATGTGACACAAGATTTATAAAAGCAATAGAGGAAAGAAAATTGCATTCTGGGAATAGTAAATTTTGTTTGTATACTTTTAGGGTAAACTGGTCAGCTGGCAACCAGCAAAGAGGTCAGTCTGGGAATTCTGTCCTCAAGTAGGCTCTCGAGGGATATCAAAGAAAATATTTTAGTTGTTCACTCATTCTCAAGAAAACACTGAGAGTTTACCTGTGAAACATACTTATGTAATGTGCAGCGTTAAAAGGTGTTTTTAGAAACTTTGACCTTGTTAGTTCAGGTTTGCACCATTTCCTTTATTAGAATTTTATAGAAGACAACTTTGAGATTGAAAAAGACCAACTCTGAGTGGGCCTGGAGGATATGAACACACCCTCTGGCCCCATATTCAGTGACATCAGTATTCTGTCCAGCCCTTCAGTCAACAGTCATGGCTACCTAAATATGGAATGCCCTAAGAAGGCTCAGGACCTTGCAAAGAACTCTGGAGCCTGAGTTACAGACATAGCATTGCACCGAGAAAGGGTGACAGGGAGCTGGAGCCAAGGCTCTGGAAATGGGAGCTGCTTAGCAGGGCCAAGTGGTCTATGGAAATTGGGATCTCCCTGCATGGTGGAAGTACAAACAGTGACCAAGACATATAGACAGAAACACAAAGAAGTGGAATTATGAGTTGAAATACCCACAGAAAAGCATCTGGCAAAGTAAAACAGAATTTATTTGGAGGATGGGGTGAATCCATCACTGGTCACTGGCACCCTGAAGCTGCTCTTTCTCCTCAGGAAGGTGGGCTGGAACGGGGTGGGCTATGGTTGTCAAGGGCTGTGGCGGTTTGGGATCTGGGTAGATAAGCAGAAATATGGGAGCAGAATTAGTTTTCTCAAATGGTGGCACCTCACACCAACCCAGAATCCACCCATGTGTCTTCTTTAGCTCTTCATTTCCCACTGTCCCTGTCCTCTTGGGATATCCCCCATTTTCTCTACCAGCTCTCACCTGCCTGGCTCCCTAGCTGGGCCTCGGGCCTATCTCCCCAGAGCAGATGCTTTGGGTCATTGAGGAACCGCTGGCTTCGCTGGCATGTTAGGCAGGTCTGTACTGTCCAGCGCTGTCCCCTGCAGCCTGAGGTGCAAGTGGGAAAAAAGAAGAGAATGTCTAGGTTTACAGAAAAGGTCTCCTGCAGCCAGTTTTGTCTCCACTGTTTTTCAGTAGGAATCCCCCACCCCACCCCAATTCCAATGCAGATTTGATGATGTTAGACCCCTGCATAAACTCCATCAATTTCTTGGAACTCTTTAAGATAAAATCCAAACTACTTAACAAGACTCTTCAAGATCTGGCCTGTTTCCCGCTCCAGCCTCATGTCTTGCCCCCTGAACTCTCATTTTCTTGACAGTACCTCAAGCTGGCTTGTCTCAGAGGCCTCACACATGGCTAGAATTTCCATTTCTCACTCCCTTTGCTTATCATGAACCTTACACCACAGGCATAAATAATTTAGCATTCTACTTCCCCCTTTAAAGTATTTTTCTACACAACTTCAATTGTTTCTTTGTCCCATCAGGCTGTAATTTCAGTGAGAATAATGACCCAGCACTGTACTTCACACATTTTAGAAAATATTTGTTTAGAAAAATGAATGGTGACGGGAATCCTGTGCTCCACGAGGCCAAATAACATCTATTTATTACGCCTCGGTGCAGATGCCTCATAAAGTAACATCATTTCTCTATTGCCCAGATCGGGGAAAAAAGGCAAGCCCAAACTTTATCTTGGGAAAGTGGAGTTAGCAACTTAACCGAGAGCTCGAGAAGGCCGACTCCCGCGAAACCCAAGCCCAACACCCACCCCGACACCCACCCGACGCGAGGGAGCGCTCGGCTCCCACGCGCCCTCCCCAGCGCTCCGCCGCCGCCGGGCCTGCGGGCACACTCACGTCTCTGGCGCTGGGTGCAGGTGAGGCCCGGGATGAGCGGGGAAGAGCAGCCGCGACAGAGAGTCCTCTTCACCGAAGGGTCCCTGGGGGCGGAGAAGGAAGATGGTGCCGGCGCCCGCGCTCCCTCTGCCGTTCTTCCCGCGCCCCGCCGCCGGGCCCGCCGCGGTCTCACCGCCGCAAGACCAGCCTCTTCGCGATGGTCCTCTCCGTGTGGCAGTAAAACCGCGCCAGCGCCTGGTTCTCGGGGTCCTGCGCGAGCACGCAGTGGGCGGCCTGCGGGAGGAGAGCGGTCATCGCGCGGCCTGCGGCGCCGGGGCCCGCTCCCCGGGCAGCCGCCGTCGCGGGATCACCTGATAAAGGAAGTTGAGCCTCTGGAAGGCCTCCCGGTCCTTCACCTGCCCCGCCATCGGCGCAGCGCGCGCCCGAGACCGCCGCAGGCCCCGCCCCTGGCGCCCGCGCGAGGGCTGCCGGGAAGTGTAGTCCCCGGGCCGCAAGCCCCTCCCCGCGGCCGCACAGACCGTCTGTTTGTGAACCCGTGTCCCGCAATCCAAGCCCTGGGTCCCTTTAGGAGTTTTGTATTTCTTCGTTTTCCTCAAGCGTATGATGGGTTATGCTGCGTAGAGACTGGAGAGCCTAGTGTAGCAGGGCAGGGTCTTAAATTTGCTAAACGTTTTCAGTACAGAAGACTGTTCTCTTTATGCAGATAGGTTGGGGAGACGGGTATGTGCAATTCATACCCAGCCAGACCTTCCGCCTTCCTCTCCTGAAGCCAAAGGCAGGTGCGTGGAAGATCTACCGACTGAAGGAACAGAGGTTAGACGTCCAAAAAATAGAAAAAGTAATTAAAAAAAAATAGAAAACAACAAAAGAAACAACAAAAAAGCACTGGTACCAACGGGGCCATCAGGGTGCTGGAAGGAGGAAAGAGGACTCCTGGTCCTCAAAGCATAGCTTACTCCTTTTCCATTTACCAAAGAAACACAATTCCTGTTAGGCAGTGCTGGACACACAGTAGGTTATCCTCACTTGCTGAGGTAATGACCAGCAACTCCTAGTCTTAGGTACAGCACAAAAACCTAAGAGGTTTTGTCTACCGCAACCTCTGCTCCTGAAACTTCACCCCACCTCCCACACAGACATCCTCTTGACACCCTTTCCTCTGACCTCTGTCTCCCATTTGTTCTATCAACCTGTGACTTACAGTTAGTAGCTATCAGCGTCTGAGGTCAGCAGAGGGATGTGAGCTGGAGGGGCAGAACATGAAGGAAGCCTGAGATGGGGATGGCAGCACAAGTCAGGCCCTCTCTGCCCAGTCAGACTCCCTGCGGGCTGGAGCAGAGAAGCAGGCCTCCAGCTCAGAGGATGGAAATGGCTGAAACTTTCTCTGGTACTAGTTTCACAAGGATCCTCAGACTCAAATGAGATGTATGTGTGTTTGAAATATAGATGCCCAGGCCCACCCCTTACTCAATCACGGAAGGTGAGACCTAGGAACATGCATTTTTTTTTTTTTTTTTTGAGACAGAGTCTCACTCTGTTGCCCCGGCTGATAAAGGAAGTTGAGCCTAGAGTGCTGTGGCGTTATCTTAGCTCACAGCAACCTCAAATCTCCTGGGCTCAAGTGATCCTACTGCCTCAGCCTCCCAAGTAGCTGAGACTACAGGCATGTGCCACTGTGCTCAGCTAATTTTTTTTCTATATATCTTTAGTTGGCCAATTAATCTCTTTCTATTTTTAATAGAGACAGGGTCTCACTCTGGCTCAGGCTGGTTTTGAACTCCTGATCTTGAGCGATCCGCCCGCCTCGGTCTCCCAAGAGCTAGGATTACAGGCGTGAGCCACAGCGCCCGGCCTTAGACTTGTATTCTTGAAATGAATTCTATTCAGTCATTTATCCTAATCCTATTTTAGAGGTATTTAATCCTATTTAGATTTGTTATTCTTTGAATATTCTGCTTTAATAATTTTGCCAAATGGATTCTTTGTATCTTTGTTAAAATGACATTGGTGTTTTCTTCAAATTATCTGTTACCTGAAGGTTTGAGAAAACAAGCTGGTAAAGCCATCTTGATCTGGTGTCTTTGGGTTTGTTGCCTTGAAAATCTGTGATTTCCTTTTCAGTTCTGTCTATTCAAATTTTTTTGCTTTTCTGAGTCAATTTTGGTCATTTATATTTTCTTATGGAATTAACTATTTTGTTTAGATTTATACACACACACCACACACACACACACACACACACATATATATAGGTATAAAGCTTATGGAATTCATTCAACAAATATTTAATGATTCTGTCTATGTCCTGGGTACTTCTAATGATCTCTTCAGCCATGCTTATATTATCCTTTTCTTCTCAATGAAGTTTGTGATTTCTTTTATCTCGCTTGACAGAGATTTGTCTATTTTACTTATTTTTTCAATTAACCAACTCTTCTACTTATTAAATTTACTGTATTTTTTAAAAAGTTTCTCCTGTTTAATTAATTCTAGCTTTTCTTTACCTTGCTTTTAAATTTCTTAAATACCATAATGATTGTACTGTTAGTGCCTATTCTTCATAGAGTAGGATGAAATCACATATTTTCTAAGCTTATTACTTCTTGGGTTATGTTTTTTGACACAGAGAGGAAATGTATATCTGCCATTGCCTTTGAAGTATTTAATGACAACCCCTCATGATGACTTGACACATTGCTTATGTGACAAGAGAGACTTAGAATGAAATGAATGCTGTTACTTATATTTATAGACATTAAGTGGCTGTCCTTTGGTGGTGATTTCTGGGTATGAAGAGATGAATGTTGAAGTATGTATCAGAGTAGAATTGAACTGTAGTCTATGTACAGCTTTTTAAAAGGGTAAAAATAGATGCTCTTACCTTAATTATTCCTTTAAAAAGTTAAAAGAAAATATTTTCTTCTGTCAGAGGGAGACCCTAGTGGATTCAAAGAGAATTTCTATACCAAAGTGTTAAATTCTAAATTGTTTTTAATATTTTTAACAGTTGCGTGTTGTATCACAAGATGTGAAATTGAGCCTTCATGAATTGGATGAACTTTATGTCATCTTTAAGGTACTGCTGTTCTTTAAATAAAAAATAATACCCTTTTAGCAGAATTGTATCACAACCACTCTTAAATATTTTATCTTTATTTTAGCATATGTGTTTTTTTTTAAAAAATCTTCCAAAATTACTTTTCTGATTTAATGACTTTCTCTTTTTTATTTGTTTTTAATAGAAAGAGCTATTTTTATCTTGTTATTGGTGTTTGAGTTGTCCGGTATTGAAGCACCATGACCCCAGTCTGCCATATTTGGAACAGTATCAGATTGACTGCCAGCAGTTCAGAGCGTTGTATCACTTGCTGAGTCCCTGGGCTTATTCTGCAAACAGAGATTCACTAGCTTTATGGACATTCAGATTGTTGGATGAAAACTCTGACTGCCTTATAAACTTCAAAGAATTCTCCTCTGCAATTGGTAAGATGATGTCCAATAATTTTTAAGCAAAAAATAAAGGTGCTCCTATAAATATTTAGTACTGCCTATTATTTGCCAGTTTAGTCAGATTATATCCCTGGGTTACATTATTTCCAGCTTTAGTAATAAATGGACCTTTTCCTGTGTTTGTTGCTAAATCTAAGTATATTGATCACATTTTGCCCCAAATCTTAAATATGGATGTTTTAAGAGTTAACACAAATGAAGAGAATATCTAGATTTCCCCACACTCATAGGCATGGATGCTATAGAAAGACTTTCCCCTTCAGTAAAAATCCAACCACATGGCCTAGAAAAGTGGCAGAGAAATACTCAACAAATAAGTTGTACCTACAAATAGTCAATATGTTATACCTGTAGATATCGTTCCTTTGCTTTTCCAGATACCACAGCATGCTTTCTTATCAGGGATTGATTGCTCCTTAAGAGCATTTCTCTCCTCAAATGAGGTAGAAGGCCTCATTCGAAAGAAAAAAACAATCTGAGTTGGGGGAAAGGAGATGGACAGGATAGCATTTTATCCCTTTGGTAAAGAGTATTCTGCTTATATATTTAAAAAAGAGAATCTGACTAACGGAGTGGTTGTTTAACTGTTAACTTAAGTAACAGAAGGTTTCTGAATTCTAATTTCTGGCTAATATTTTTATCTTAATTAATTTCTGTTGCTGGAATTGGTTGAATGTTCTTTGGATACATGATTATTTGCAATTGAATTTCATTGAACAGACATAATGTACAATGGAAGTTTTACTGAGAAGCTCAAGCTGCTTTTTAAGCTTCATATTCCTCCAGGTAAGAGTTTAACAGTCTTTAATGATGTACGGGAGGAATTGATTCCATTTTAAAAAGTATTACAGCTATTCCATTTTAACATAATTTTCAATCTGATGCAAGGTCACTGCTTCATTGTGGTCCTCAAATCATATTACCACTACTTTTGCTGATATAGATGCAGTGAAATCTATGAAAGAGATTCTGTGTAACAGATGAGTCTTTAACTTTCCTTCCTGTTAGTGGCCATTCAATTTAATGATAAATAGTTTGTATATAAGAATTACATATCATTTGAATATGACATGTAATTTGAATATGATACATAATTTGAATATTGGTATACTGTTCCTTTTTTTTTTTTTTTTTTTGAGACAGAGTCTCACTCTATTGCCCAGGTTAGAGTGCCGTGGCATCAGCCTAGCTCACATCAACCTCAAACTCTTGCGATCCTTCTGCCTCAGCCTCCCAAGTAGCTGGAACTACAGGCATGTGCCACCATGTCCGGCTAATTTTACCATCAGCCTAGCTCACATCAACCTCAAACTCAAGCGATCCTTCTGCCTCAGCCTCCCAAGTAGCTGGAACTACAGGCATGTGCCACCATGTCCGGCTAATTTTTTCTATATATTTTTAGTTGACCAATTAATTTCTTTCTATTTTTAGAAGAGACAGGGTCTCGCTGTTGCTCAGGCTGGTTTCGAACTCCTGACCTTGAGCGATCCTCCTGCCTCGGCCTCCCAGAGTGCTAGGATTACAGGCATGAGCCACCACGCCCGGCCTGAATTTTTGTTGTTATTAGGATAGAAATTAACTTTAGACAAACTGCCAAACTTGTAAAATTCTATAAATTATTCAGAAAAATGGGACCAGTCAGCAGGGATATTAAATATTTGGAAAAGGAAGCAAAATAAAAGCTATCATTTATTGTGTACTTGCTCTGTCAAGACAATTACTTTAAATGCATTCTTTTATTTAATCTTCCCAATATCCCTAAAAACTGGTATTATCCTTCCAATTTTTTGATAAGGAAACTGAAAGTTGGAAATATTAAATTATTTGCTCAAGATCACATAGCTAATAAATTGCATAGCTGGGATTCAAACTGAGGTCTAGCTCATTCCAAGGTTCGTGTTTCTTTCTATTTTACCATACCCTCAAAGTTACCACACCATTCTAGTTTAGTTTTTTCCCCACTGACCTTAAGAGGCTGCCTTTCAAAGGCCTGAGCCCTACTTTGAGAAAACAGGCGTTCAACTGAAGGAATATTGCAAAAAGCACCTTTTAGCTGAGGTAGGGTAATTTACAGAAACAAACAGCACTTCATTTGTCTAAAGCTACATACACATGGGATCCCTTTTAAACTCAGGATAGCCAGGAAACATTATTTACCAGACCAACAGGCTAAAACCATCTTTAAACCTTCACACATTCAAATCACAAACACAACATTAAAAACAAAAAACAAACCATTTAATAATTTAAATTATAAAAGTTTACATTGTCAAGTCAGGTTGCTGTTAGAATGTTTAATATTGTCATTGAATATGCTTTTAATAGATTAAAAATAGGAAAAACATGTATTAAAGCACAGGTAGACAGTAAAACAGTGTACTCAACTTCATTTTTCTTATTGAGGAAGCTTAAATGGCAGAAGTCACATTTTCAGAAATTTTCAAATGCTACATTTTCTTATTTCAACTTGTAATTGCTCTTGGAAAATAATTAAAAGACATGTGGGAGAATAATAAAACTCAAAGTGTTCAAGCACTTTTTGTCATTTACTATACAGTAGAGTAGTACCCCTTCCACATTTCTTCACTTATGTCTCTCTTATCCAGAAATCCTTGGTTTAACTCCCTGTTCCCAAATTTACCTGACCCATTATGAACCCCATCTCTGTAGCTCATTGTTACTAAATATAATTTGGGTTATATGTTTTCAGCTTACACTGAAGTGAAATCTAAGGACCCTTCAAAAGGAGATGAACTTTCCAAGGAAGAATTACTTTATTTCAGTCAACTCCACGGTAAATATCTGTTTTAAAGTTTAACTGTTTTGATGATTAGTCACCCATAGAGATCTTCCTGGCTTAGATATTCTTTACCTAACTACTACTAGTAAAATTTGGGTTCATTTTACCTTATACATTTACACTACAATAGTACTTAGCATAGTTCATAAATATTGGACTGATTAACCAAATTCACTTTAGGGCTTTGATTTATAAAATTTCTTATTTTTTGGAAAAATCAAAAAGAAAATGTATTTTGTTTCTAAGTATGTTGTAGAAATTTCTGAAAGTTATCAGACCATTTTCATGCCTGATAAAATACAGTGAAGACAATAGAATCTTTGATGATTAAAGGTCATGGATATTATTCAAATAGTGAATACTCATTATAAATCACTGTAGGTGTAGGAAACAGGGATGAATCTGTCACCAAGACATAATTTAAGTGATATGAGCTTATTTTATGTCTTTTGCTTCATTTTCATAAATATGCAATGTCTTATAAAGGGATAAGTCCTGATTAATGTATGTTGTGCTTACTATATGTTAAAGCGTTTTGAACATTAGGTTTGAAGACACTGCACAAATCACCTAGTAAAGTCCCTTCATTTTATAGATAAAGGCACTAAGGCCCAGGGAGAAGTGACTTCTGCAAGGTTTCACAATGAGTTATTGCCACAATCAGGACTTGTAGCTCAGTCTTCTGACTTCCAATGTGTTTTTATTTTCCTGATAATAAAAGTAATATAATTTTATTTGAAGAAAGTCACAACGAAGAAAATACTACCCAGAAATAAATACTTAATATTTTGTTTACTTCTATTTTTTTTAATATGGATTTTCCCCCAGTGTTCTTTTTACTAAGAAAGTTCTTGAGTACTTTGTCTTCTAATGATAGGAGGTCAGGTCAGCTAAAATTGGTTTGCTGAATTGAAGAAAATAACATGCTTTTATTATTATTGAAGTAAAATATTATTTCACTTTCAAATATATTTGTTCTATATTTTACAAAATACAATTACCCTCTTTTCCTCTAGTTTCCAAGCCTGCAAATGAGAAGGAAGCAGAATCAGTAAAAAACAGCCCTGAAAAAGGTACTATGATCTAGGGATATAATTTAGTTTATTAAGTTATTGTTTTGTGAATAAGGATAATTACAAAGGAGAAAAAAGTGAATTCTTTTTAAAGGCTATTGGTTTGTCATGAGAGCTTTTTAAGTTCCTTTGTGTTAATTTAATAATTTATTCTTTTTTCTCTTGATTCTTAAGTCTTAGAAGTTATAGAAAATGTAATAGTAAATGACCTATATTCATTTAATTTTTTATTTTTAAGTATTTTTAATTATAAAAGTAATAGATAATTCTTATAAAAGAAATTCAGATAGTGCGTAGTCCTTCTATCTTCACCCAACCCCACCCAGAAGTAAAGGCTGAAAATATTTTTGTCTATATCCTTTCCAGACCTGTCTCTATGTATATGTAAACATATGTAGACATCTCTTTTTTTAAAAAAAGAAAGAAACATTTCATAATATTGTTCTGTAATTTGCTTTTTTGATTTTATAATATATCATAGACATCTTTTCGTATCAGTATATTTGGATCTACCTTATTCTTTTTAATAGGTACAGAATATTTCATTGTTTGGTTGTACCATAATTTATTTCAGTAACTAGCCCAATACTGGTGGGCATTTAGGTTGTTTCCAATTATTTTTTTTTCCTTTGTTCCATATTATTTTTACCAACCAAAGTCTCTTGCCACAAAGAACCACAGTCAAGGCACAAAGGTAAGAGGAGGAGAGTCTGGACAAAGTCCTTTTGAGGTGGTAAGAGGAACTGAATAAATTGTAGTTTCTTGTCTCAGTCTTCTGTGAAGATTACCCAAAGAGTAGATAATTCAAATCATTTTAATTTGGTTTGGCATGCATTGCTTTACCTTTTATGACAATATATGTACCCTAAAGTTGTTTATTTTGGCCTAACATTAAAATGACTTACATTCTCTGAAAAGGGGAATGGCAAAGGGTGAAGGATGGCAACAAATATGCAAAAGTCTAGCTCTTGTGTTCTAGGCCAGATGCACACAGGCCAAAGGAAATTGCCTTTCTGGCCCCTCCCTACACACACCACCCTCTTCTACCCTGTCCTCAGGGTGAGAAAAACTCCATTACCTTTCTTGCTTTCTGTCTGGGATACCTTCGCCAGATAACAAGACTGACAACTTAGGAGCAGCTGCTTAGTAACACATTAAGGCCAAGGCTTTGGATAGAAATACCTTTCTCTTTCCTTTAATACCTGACTCTCCTTTCCAAGTTCCCTTGGAGAAACAGTGAAAGGGTGGATGTGTCTTGAAAGATCTTCTCCACCTTGCTTCTGGAGAGGAGCAAAGAGACTGACTTCTTAGAGACAACCAACTGTAAGGAGGCAGACAATAAGCCAACTTTGCTGAAGGCTGAGGCAAGGAGTTGGGTTCTTCTCTGCCTTCTCACCCTCTCCTTCTCCCTGCCTTCCCACCCTTGGCCAATCCTACTCATAATGGCAAACTTACCCTGGGAATAGAAGACAAAAGAAACCCCTCTCCCCTTCATTGGTCTCTAGTAATCTTTTCCTTTAGTTCCCTTCCCTGATCTTCTTTCTAATTTTCTGATGCCCATTCTCTGCCCTCAGAAAAACTCAACTTCTAGACTCATGAGAGCAACTGTCATTTGTATTTCTTCAATCTAGAGGTATACAGACCCCTCTGATCTACCTGAAGAAACAAGACTATTCTGAGTCAAAGAATCCCCTGAAAAGATGTAAAGGGGTTTGTTTCCTCCTCTTTACGCAAGTCAGAACCTCTCACAGATTTTTTAATTCTAGAAAAGCCTCTCCTTCCTTCCTAACCCATCCTTGTGCAACAGAAGACCTGACGGACTTCATGGGAGACAATCCCCTGGGAGCAGCTCCCACCCTAACAGTCAGGAGGGAGACACAGCTATGCTCTCTCATCATAGCCCAGTCCTAACTACTCCGCACAAACCATCCTAGAAACCGAGGCGTTTCTCCACGATGATTCAGGACTGGAACCAGGCAGACATGAAGACGTTCCAGCAGGACATAGGAAGGCCCATAGCACTTGACCCTGCCTCACCCCAGTTATTCCCACATCCCAACCTGTCACTCCCAATCTGTTGGGGGCCTGATGGTAAGCGGTGCAGCATTTTTCCGACCAGCCCGGATGCCTGGGTAGAAGAGGGGCCAAAGTTTCTCAGTAAAAGTATCATTGAAAGTGTAGATATGAGAGCGGTCTGTGACATTGTAAAAGGACAGTGTGCCGGCCTCATAGTCTAGGAATATGCCTACCCGTTTGGGTTTCACTTTGATGTGCAAAGGGGTAAAAGGTGTAGTGGTGGCTGCGTATTTGTCCCCATTCCACAGCCGTACCCGCCAATAGCCAGTCTCAGGGAGTGGAGTCAGCTCGCCCTTTCGGCTCACGGAGTCCCGGCACACACCCACTGCCCAGTGGGTCTTGTCGCCCACTTCCACCTCCCAGTAGTGTCGACCTGAGGTGAAACCCTCGGTAGCCAGGACACAAGGGTAGAAGGTGAAACGCCTTGGTGTGTCAGGGAGATCTCGGAGTCTTGTCTCCACGAACTTGACGCTCTTACGATCCTCCGACAGGACGAGGTTAGGATGAGCGGTCTCAGGGTCCAGGGTCACATCCGCTGGCGGGAGAAGCCAGAGTGGGGAGCTAGATGAGGATGGGAACAGCTAAATGTCCCTGCCTCACTCTACCAGCCTGCCTTTACCGAGCCTGGTCCCTTAAAGGTCCCCTGAACGCCACGGTTTGGTTAACTTTCTCAGTCCATGGTGTCACCACAGACAGGGGAGGGAACAATGGTTCACTTTGTACCCTGACCCTAAAATAAACAGGTAATGATTTCTTGACTCTCAGGGGCCGTTAGTGTAGGTTGCCATCTAGTCTTCTCTCTTCCACTGACATTGTCATTTATGTCACTGTGTGGAGAAGTACAAGGCACAGCCTGAGGGCCAAAAAGAATGGGAAGTGTTGAAAAGGACACAGGGCAAGATAGCATATGGTGACCATGTGTCTGTTTTCCTGTAACAGGCCTGGTTATGACTGTTTTCCCTGCATCCTAGCATTAATGACACTCCCTTTCACTCCCAAGATTGTCTTAGTTTAGATGGTAAACTGTGTGGTCACTCTACCTGACGACTTAGGCAAATTATTTAACCTTTCTGGTTCTCTGTTTAGAAAAGTGTGGACCTAAGAGCAGATGACACCTAAGGCTTCTTCTCACTCTGAGTTCTGTGAGTCAGGGTCAGAATGAAAGCCACGTGAAGGGACAGGTGTGTAGGCATGGGCAAGAACGGTGAGAGAAGGGGTAACTAAAGCCCATATAAGATAGGACCTAAAGACTTTCTTCTCTCTAGTGATTCCCTCTGCTAGTTTCCTTTCAGGAACAACTCACCAATTAGCTGTTTAAGGATTTTCCTTAGTGCAAAGTACTGTCGGGGGAAATTGCTGAAGTTCTTTTCCAGCTCTATGGATACTGAAGTCACCTCCATGGTCTTCACCTTCTCACATCTAGGAGGGATAGAGAGACAGAGGGAGAAAGGGCAGGGTCGGGGAAAATCTAGCCAAGTGAGTATTCGGATGTTGTCATCTTTAGGGAGAAACTAAAATTCTTCTTTCTACTTTCTCCCTCCTCCCTGAAGCCAAGAGTTCACCTATTGCTTTCTTTTATGATTCCCTGGACAGACTTGTCTTGAGAATGAGCCTTAGAACTTCCTAGGGGTATTTTTACATTGCATGCAGATGGATAATCACCCTCCCTGCTCTCCCAGCCCCTTCCTCCTACAATCTTGTTCACAGGGTACAAATCGACTGCAGTTCTACTTTATCATTCTCCTTACCAAGAAGTCCTGATGCTCAAAGAGGAAAAGGAAAGGGATTATTACTCCCAATAATTTGTTCTCTCTTGGCTTCATGGGTGTAATAAACCTTCACTCATACCCTGCCTAGGCACTAACTTTCCTACCCTTACTGCCTCAACTCCTTACTGTATCCCTCAACTCTAAGCCAAGACCTAACTCACTCAAAGAGATACAAGAAGCACTTACTTTTCCAGGGTACTTTTGACATCCTAGAAGGAAGGAGAAAAGAAAGCAATATTGGTCCTGGTATTTAATGGTCCTGAAGGCAAAAGGTTCCCCCTCCTCCCAAAAGTTCCAGATCTATAAAATAGGCACAGGGCAAACTGAAGGTCACAATGCAAGAGGAAGAGCTCCAGACGGATCCGAGTGCATCTCTCCCAACCAAGTCCCCACTTTCAACTTTTGGTCATCATGAAGCTTGGTAATTTATATCACTTCCAAATGGTTTCTTATGTTTTTGTCTTTGCTCCTCAAGGACACTGGGAGCTCCCTGAAAGGGACAGGGATTGTGTCTGCTCTTTACTCTGTCCCCCAAGTACCAACCACATACCTCAGTTTCCTTGAGGATCAGTACAGACAGTTCCAGACTGGTGGCATAGGAACAAATCACACTTTCCCGTTGTGGTTTGGTATCCCCTGTCTGGCATTGGTTAATAAGCATTCATAGCTGTGTGCTAATCCTGATTTGAGAATACTTGGGGTCCAGAAGACAAAGAAGACAAATCTCTGTCCCACAAGGATTTCCCAGTTTAATGTGGAAGGCAGAACACACATACATGAAAGGACACAGGAATAAATACCAAGCAATACATAACATTCAAAAAAATGTACAATGAAGCCTCACTGATTCAAATGCTTGTAATCTGATCTCTAAGATAAGAAATATGTTTCCTACAGCTTTGCTAACAGTATTCATTTGCTTAAGAAAACAAACTATTTCAAACATTTTAGAGGTATTATTTACATATCAAAAGCAATATATTATTTACACATAATTTCAAGTATAGGCATACCCCGTTTTATTGCATTGCGCCTTATTGTGCTTTGTAGATATTGCGTGTTTTACAAATTGAAGGTCTGTGGCAAGCCTGTGTCTAGCAAGTCTATCAGCATCATTTTTCCAACAGCATGTGCTCACTTCATGTCTGTGTCACATTTTGGTGATTCCTGCAATATTTCAAACTTTTTCATTATCGTTATATCTGTTATGATAATCTGTGATTGGTAACCTTGATATTACTATTGTAATTGTTTTGGGGTGCCATCAACTGTGCCCATATAAGATGATGAACTTAGGCAGGAAGGGATGGGTGAAATCATACCTAACAAGTTCAATGTACACTATTTGGGTGATAGGCACACTTATAACTATGACTCAAGTAGTACAAAAGCAGTCCATGTAACCAAAACATTTGTACCCTTAAATTATTCTGATGTAAAAAGATGATGAACTTAATCAATAAATGTGTGTGTTCTGACTGCTCCACTGACTGGCCATTCCCTCATTTCTCTTCCTCTCCTCGGGCCTCCCTATTCCCTGAGACACAACGACATTGAAATTAGACAAATTATTATAATAATCCCATCATGGCCTCTAAGTGTT